TTCTGTTATGCCACATGTTATAAGAACACTACTAGGAAGGCCCAGAAAGTGTAGGAGAAAAGAGCAGAATGAAAACAAAACAGGAAAATTGTCCAAGAGAGGTGTTGAGATGACCTGCAGTTTTGTCATGCAAAGGGTCATACTAAGAGGGGTTGCCATTTGAATAATCAAGCTAATGTTGATTCTTCTACAGCACCAACTGAATCACAATCAAGCACAAAGAAAGGAAGAGGTCGATCAAGAGGTTCTACAAAACATGAATGTTTATAGTAATTCATTTAGTTCTTATTTTACATCTTAATCAGTCTAATATTTTTGTTAATCAACTTATATTATAGGCTAGTGCTACTGGAAGGGGAAGAGGAACTACAATTGGTAATGGAACAGGGATTGGTGTTGATGCTGATGATTTTGGTGCCACTGGAAGGGGAAGAGGAACTGGAACTGGTTTAGCTGGAAGGGAAGAGGAACTGGTGTAGCTGTTACTGCTACTAATGTTCTTGGTGCTACTGGAGGAGGGAAGAGGCCAAGAATGGTTGGAATAGGGATACTACATACACAGAGTAGTTTTACAATCTACAATGTAAGTTGTCTTAATTATTTACGTACTTTTCAATTTTAACTTATCAAGCATCTAAGACAACATATTTTTGTGAATCTAGCCTGGAATGCCTATGAACTCTTCAATAGTGACTGGAAATCTTGGGCATCATAAACCAAGATCAGGCTTAAAATGGAAAGGAAAGTTGTAACTCAACAAGGTCTTCAAGAGATGAGAGAAAACAAAAGAATGAGAACAAGGTCCAATGCTGCTGAAGTTTGATATGGAGACTGCTTTAGTTTGAATTTTAGCTGTTTTTGGAATAATTATGCAGTTGTGACTACTTTAGTTTGATATTTTAGTTGTTTTTGGAACAATTATGCAGTTGTGACTGCATTAGTTTGATCTGTTTGTTTTTTAAACAATTATGTTGCAGCTGTGACTACATTAGTTTGATCTATGTTTGTTTTTGAAACAATTATGCAGTTGTGACTGCATTAGTTTGATCTGTTTGTTTTTTAAACAATTATGATGCAGCTGTGACTGCATTAGTTTGATCTATGTTTGTTTTTGAAATAATTATGTAGCTGTGACTGCATTAATTTGATCTATATTTGTTTTTGAAACAATTATGCAGACAGTTTTGCATTACTTTTATGTGTACAATTATGCAGTTATGACTGCAATTTAGTGAATGTAGTTGTAAATAAAACACAAACAAAATACACAAACAAGCAAATTACATTAAGAGACTAAGAAGAACACAAAGTTCATTACAAAAGAGTCTTGCACCTAACATAAATAGTGCTACACTACACCAACATTGATCTCACTACATCAAGAGCTTAAGGTAACTTCATTGAACCTCTCTTCATATATATCACCCAGAACCAATAACTTATAGCTATAACCACAACACAACAACAAGCTACAACAAAAAAGAGCACATTTTGCCATGTTCTTCTCCATTTATTCTACATTCCTTTCATCTTCTCAACCCCTTCTTGCAACATTTTCAATTTCATACCTAGGCAATCATCATCTTGTTTGAAATCTCCAGGCTTGTCAACTTCTTTGGTAACCTCAACCAATTCAAATGCAATGGCTGATGTTTGAGAGGATTCTACTATATTCTCAAGCTCACCTAATTTCTGTATTAGTTTAGGAATCACAAATTTCGACCTCGGATCAATATTTTCTTTATCCTTCCAACACCAAAAGTGGCAAGATCTAGGACCCTTCAATAATGCAAAAGGATGAAGGAATTAGTGGTTAATCAAAATTCTTAATCGGCTAAAAAAATGAAACAAAAATGATATTTACCCCATAATAAGGACATGACCAATATCTTCTTTCGGGGTTATTTGAAGTCCAAGATGTTTTCAAATGCACCACAAGTCCATGATTACAATTTTTTTTCTTCGTAGTATAATCATCTTCTTCCATACAAAGGTTTGTCAAGTTAATTGATCGCATTGTGTGCACAATTTTGTGCAAAAAGTAACGAGAATCTAAAAAAAATAGATAATAAGGAAAAGGGAGGAAACAAAAATCAAAATAATAGATGAAGAATAATAAGTTTGAATAACAATTATTCCTTCAAAGATTCAACTTTTAGGTTTGAAGAGCTAAGATTTGAGAAAAATTAGGGGCTTAATACATCAGATGGTCATTCAACTATCCACTTTTGCCTCAGAAAGTCACTCAACTTTTAATTTTCACTAAAAAGTCACCATGTGAGTGACTTTCTGAGAAAAGACTGGACAGTTGAGTGACCATCTGAGGTATTAACCCTAAATTAGGTCACCATTTTTCAATGATTGGGTTGGTGAGGGAGAAGAGGAAATTAAGGTTCTTTAAAAGTGAAGGTGGATCTTCAAATACGTAATAGGTCGGATATTACTGTTGGAGGGGAATATTTGATTTTAAAAAAATGTTAAAAGATGAATAACGTGTTGTTCTAAGCTGTATCAACACGCACACAAGGCTGGTGTTCGGAGGGTTGAAAATAATTCACATCAAATATTTTAAGGGGGGTATATAAACACCCGTGTAGTTTAAGTACTAAAGTAAGTTCTCGAGTCAAGTTCAAGTTTTTTTTAATGTATTTTCTCTTTTTAAAAATTAATCCAATTGCCATGGGTCATCGCTTATTTGGTCCATTTGCTATGTATGAGCGTTTGAAATGCACACATATTTCTCTTTTATTTGACTATCATTTTGTGTTAAATAGGTATATATTTGTTAAGGTTTAAGGGGTCGTTTGGTAGGGGGGAATGCAGGGATTAATAACGCAGAGATTAATAATGCAGAGATTAGTAGTGCTGGGATTAGTAATGCAGGGTATATGTTTTCTATCAAGTGTTTGGTTCATTGCTTTTGACCTCATCTTGTTTTTGGACTAGAACTCTACAAAAAGCTTCTTTCCAATTATACCCTTGCATTATTATGAGATGTTCTATTTTATGTAATCGATCAAGGTAGATAATTGTCGAGACAATATTATTTTTTTATGACCTTCTAACTAGCTAGGAGAAACAATTTTGTTGTCATGTTTGCGATTTTCTCACTTGAATTATTTGAGGGTAAACAATTATTATCTTAATAAATTAATGTCTTAAAAAACGTTAATTTTTAATTTAGAATAGATAGACCATCTACTTTAAAACCGAAAAGACGGCAAACAATAGCAAAATCCAATAAATCATCTACATTTACACATAAAAATTACAAGTTGTAGTTTTAATGTGTATGCAATTTATAAATGGTTCAAAATACAAATAATTAGAAACCACGTATAAATCAACAAATAATATATTAAATTAAGATCACAAACATCATGTGGTGATATATTTGCCTTTTCAATTAGTAAATGTTAAAGAACTCACATTTTAAATATTGTATTGATATGTATTGCATTTATTTATTAACAAACAACTCTCTCTAAATAATAAAATTTGTTAGTTAATTTATTTAAATAAATTTTCTAGTACAAATATAAAACATAAAATCAAGAAAATAAATAAAATGATTTGAGGGATATTTTTGTCTTTACATAGATAATCCCATACTTAAATCCAATGTATTACTAATACCACCAAATGAAAGGTATTAGTAATACATCCTATAATACTATGCAAGGTGTATAACTAATCCATGGATTAGTTATACTTAGGCCCAAAAATTCTATCAAACATAATACTAAATAATACCATACATAAGACACGGACTATTTCTCCTAATACCTCCTACCAAACGACCCCTAAGTGTTCAATAGGTACAAGCCTAAATTGAAGTGTCTAAGTGAAATATGCTGACAACTTTAAGGGGCCGCATATTACTTAAGCGTAAATTTATTTGTTCACTTCACTTGTATCCCATCTGATTGCCATCGTAGGAACTTTAGTATTCTCTATTGTAATTCAAGCTCTCGCTTTTTTGGTGATGTTGCTAGACAATTATATTCATTCTTGACTTGTCCATTACTCTTGCTTGTTGCTTTGATTATATTCACTAACAAGAAATTTAGCATCAAGAACAAATTATTTGGTAGTTATAATTTGTATGCCCTTGAGGGCCAATATCTTATGAAGTCAATGGCTATACTTTAAAGGCTATTGATTAAAAGGGTATTTATAGAAGTCCATTTGATGAGTATTTCAACGAATAATCCATTCACAAATGTTCAACATTTTTGGCAAAGAAAATTTATATTCAAGCGCAATTTTGACTTCCAATTATGAACTTTTTTCTTTAATGTCAACCAAACATTGTCCTAACACCTTATTGATTATTGTCCAAATATCTTTTCTTTAATTTTGTTTATTTATGGGTCCATTTGTCATGTCAATTTCTTATTAATACTTGATATATTTAGTTAAGTGATTTTGAAAGATAAAAGTATTAAGTTGAGTAATTTTATTAATACAAAACAAAGTTTAATGACTTTATTAGATACATTCTCATAGTTCGGTAACCTTTTAAGATATTAACCCAGAACAATCTCTAATGCCACTAGCCAAATATCCCATTCAGAGACCATTTTTAGCGTTAATTGCACGATTTGCCCTTCAAATGGATTGATCTTTAATTTTTTACATTTAGAAGTCGAACTCATGTCTAGTGGGATGGATATAAGCTCTTTAAGAGCGCATAACCTAACTTAAGAAATATTATAATGCAAAAATATAAACTTATGTCTCACTAAAAAGTTATTTACCTTAGCAGACCAACACAAAATACTTACATAGGCATAAAAGTGCAAATAACCCCATCTTTATGTTAGCAAAAGGGGAAACATAACTAGTAAAGGGTGGGCTAAAATCTTAAAACAAAGAAAGTAATGAGACTAGATGCACTAGTCTCTACTAGTATTACACATCTAAGTAATTATATTTATGTATTGACATTTGCACTTTCAAAACAAGCTGAAAATAACAGAACAAAGTAAGAGGAAGAGTTTACTAATGTTGAAGCATACTATATCTAGTGTGTCAACATTGCTTCAATCTCTCAACAAGAATGTGTACTCCATGGCCTGGCTCTACAATCATCCTATAAGCCGGCGAGTGTTTGTATTTGGGAGATAGAGAGAAACGAAAGTTTGAAATAATGAGTGAAATAACAACCTTGAGCTGCACCATCGCGAAATTCCTGCCTAGGCAGAGACGAGGACCTAGTCCAAATGGGATATAAACTTGTGGCAATTTACAAGCACCCGAAACTCCATTTTCAAACCTCTCTGGCTTGAATTCATTGGCATCTCGTCCCCATATCTCAGGGTCACGATGAAGAGTCGGGATCAAGGTCCACAAGCATACACCTTTTGGCACAACAATGTGACCAATTTGTGTGTCTTCTAATGCCTCTCTTGACACAAATGCTGCTGGTGGATATAAACGCATCACTTCTTGAATGACCATTGTCACCTTTATGTCAAGACTATAATTGTTAGATACAAATTGTACATTGAGACGGACTAGTTATAAGATTAATGTGATATATGAGTTACCATTTTCATCTTGGAGACAGACTCTGCATCTAGGACACCATCAGGGCAAATCTGAGCCATTTCCTCACGGATACGAGATTGCCATTCTGGATGTAGAGCAAGAAGCATGAGGCACCATGATGCAGCAACAGCAGTGGACTCATGACCTGCAAAGTATATGTTCTTGCAATTGTCAACTATGAATTTCCTTGACGAATTCTCACCTACATTGCCATCATTGATAGCTCCCTCGAGTATAGAATGCAGTAAGTCTTTCTCATTTGAATGTGTTTCTAAGCATTGATCCCTTTCTCTTTCTTTCACTGCTTCCCATATCAACGACTCTATCTCCTTCTCTAAGTTCTCAATCTCCTTTTGCTGTCTACTCGGAAGAAACCTAATACATATATAGTCCTTATGTTATTAATGGGAATCAAGTCGGAGACAAAGCTATTAGATTCGATTGAATATCTTTGCGACAACATACCCTAATGCAGGAGAACCAAAAAGAATGCTTGTGTTTGATATGACTTTTTGAAGAGTTCGAAGCTTTGAAAAAATGTTTTTGCCTTTGAAATAAGAGCTCCCAAAGCAAGCCCTTGAGATCACATCTGCTGAGAGGCTTCTCAGATCCTCTCCCACACTAATTTCTGCCATTTTGCCCCCTTCAGCTTCAATCCTTTCATCCCATTTCATGGTTAATAACTCTGCTGACTGCAACATCAGGCTCACCATGCCCTAACAAATTCATCTTCAAGATTCATAACTACTTAAAAAAAAAGTAAAATTTAGAAATGGACAAATTTTGCAGCGTTGTAGTCTGGTGCACTAAAGCTCCCGCTATGCCCATGTTCCAGGGAAGGACACAACCACAAGCACCTATTGTACGTAACCTTACCTTGCATATCTGCTGAAGGCTGTTTCCAAGGACGTAGCTAAACAACAAAATTTGTTGCTAATTCTATTAATACGAGTGATTTAGCTACAGATTAACAACGAAGTTCATAGCTAATTTCAAGTGATTTGTATAGTGTAATTAATATATTCAATCATTGACTATAGTATATGAGTGTAAGATTTTTTTGTTATTATTTAATTTTTGATTAATTACCTTGACCTTGTCCATGAAGAATTCAGGTGCTACGATTTTCCTTTGCATGGCCCAAATATGGCCATTAGACCTCAAAATACCATTTCCAAGCATAGGGGCAAGTCTCTTAGTGACATAAGAAGGTTTTCCTAAATCCAGACTAATACTTTGGTTCATTTCCTTCACTAGCTCTGGTTGGTTCACATACAAATGTTGTTTGTTTCCAGTTGAATATGTAAATACAGGACCTGCAATTAAACCACCAAAACATCAAGCTATAAAAGGTTCACGAGTTCAATAATAAGAACTTAAAGATCAAATCAATCAAATTTATATCTTAGATGCACTTTTTCGTAATGTTATATTCATCCACTCAAAATTCTGAATATGCCTCTGACAAACAGAGCCACAATAATAACACAATAATTTTACATAGATTATTTCTTATGCATTGTTTGATTTAGTACATTAAAAATAACATGCATTGCATAAGAATATTTATTTACAAAGATATCCTCCACAATTATGATTAAAAAGATAAAAAAAATGCTTTGAGAGGTAATTGGATCTTTAACCATGCAAATGCATGCATTAAATCCCTTTGCATTACTAACACCTAGAAATCCATTGTATTAATAATGCACATCTTAATACACAATAGAGTGTATAATTGATATATAGCTTAATAAAGTGTACCAAATAATGTATTACTAATATACAATGCTAATACATTTATTATTTTTTCTAATAGAGTGAAACTTGTGTAATTATAGATTAATTAGAGTTGCAATATTGAAATTCCAAGAATCATTTTGTGTGAGGTATAATAATTTCGAAATAAAATATAGAATTATTTTATTATGTGTTTGATTGGAGCGTGAAGGTATTAGGTAGTCATGAAATTATTTATCTCATCATTTATATCTTAGTGATCAGATAAGTTATTTCATATACATAGCAAAATAACTTATTTTCAACCAAACAACCCCGCGCTAATAAAGCTAAAATGAGAGGTTGATGGAGTTTAAAAGTCAGAAGGTAGAGCATGGGATCACATGGTTAGTGACCAAGTGTTCCCTGCATCTCCAACTCCTATATTGTACTTAACTCAGTTACATGTGTCTAACTGTGACCCACCTTCATCTAGTCTAGTCATGTCCCTCTTAAAGGAAAATGATTTAACGGTATAACACCAAACAAGGAAAGGACCTCACATTTACACACTTCACCATAAGTTAAAATTATTTTTCTGATTAACGGTGCACCCATAAAGAGCATATGAGTGTTCTTGTATTGTTGGTACAAGGTAGAGGAATCACCCACGAGATCAGGGTTTGAATCTTGCTAGAGCGCTAAATTTCATTATTTTTATTTTAAATTTAGCTTAAAGATCATATGTGGTGCACCAGAATTCTTCAAATCCTGGGTTCACCTCTGTATATACTATACATATAAGATACATACCTATACATATTTATACATATATACAATTACACCATATATGCACCATTGTAACTCTTTTGGGACAACAAACGAAAAATATCTACTAGGAATACTTGTATGATTTTATGGAACAAAAGACTCATTGTAAGTGCAATGGGGATAACTTGTCTCTAGGATTATTAACTTGTCAAATCATCCTGCTGTATTTCAGCCCTCTGTTATTAGTACACTACTTGATAATGGGTGAAATTTAGATAAGGATGCAATGCAAGTTTTAATCAATTTTGAAAAAATATTCACTCATCATTCGTTTGAGTGATTATTTTTTTCAGATTCGCAACGGAAAATCATGTTGAGACGTAAAATACTTCCTAACAAAAGTAAATTCATACTCAGAGGATTTATTGGTATCCATTTAAGTGATTGTATCTTTCCATACACGCATATCGTTCCCACTCTCAACTCCTGACCCATCTCATAAGTTTATTACTTTATCTAAATTATATAAAGAACATTGTAAATTACTACTCTAATATTTTTCGTTTAATTATCAATTACCAAAAGTTAAAAAATAAGTAAGAAAATTATTGGATTTTAAAGATTTTCCTTCTCACAAACCACACACGGAATATATCTAGTTTATTCGGAAACTACAACTTATCAATTTGATGGTAATTTTATCCTACTTCAACTACAATTTATTAAATCTCAGAAATTATTGTCCAATAACACTACAAAAATGACTATCATCAAAGTCAAATTCGACACTTAAGTGTGTTTGGTACGGAGGAGAATATTTTTCATCGAAAATGTTTTTTTTTTTTGAAAAATAAGTTAGTTTCTTTCTTATTTTCTAGTGTTTATTAAAAAATATATTATCTTAAAAGCATTAATCTATCAAAAATCTATAGGGGTGACACCGTGATAGGGTGTCAGTTGTCGGGTTTCAAGGTGGGATAGTCAAGACGTAGAGGTTGGGGTGTCAGGTGGGTGGAAGGATACAATAAACCTAAAACGTCATTTAGAAAACTCATTTTTTTCTACTTTTATTTGAAAAGTCATTTTTCTCATTTTTAAAGAACTTATTATCCTACCAAAAATATTTTCCAAAATTTTTATCCAACTAAAAATAGAAAATTATAAAAGAAAAACATTTCTGGAAATCTTATTATGAGAGATGAGAAAGACTAGATATGTCACTTGTATATAAAATAACTAATTCTACAATTTTAATATAAATAAAAAATTTATCTTGAAATTGTTATTCAAATAATCAAATCTAACTAGATTTGTCCGTAATAAGGGTATCACGTGACTAAGTACTTTTAAGGATCCATAATTATTTAAAAGTTTTTAAGTATTTAATATTAGGGACAATTATCATTTAATTAAGAATCATCTCCATGTCATATATAATTGTTGTTTTGCGTATTAAATCATATATCATCTCAAAATATATATATATATATATATATATATATATATATATATATATTTATTATTATTTTTTTAAATATTAAAAGGTGTGAGGCTCATCTCAAAATATATAGAAGTGACATGACCTCTTATTTTTCCAGGAGGTAAAGTTATTAATGAATTGAAATGACTAATTGTCATCAACTTACGTAAATAAATAAATATGATATGAGCATCTTAGAAAAATCGAGAAAACAAGCCAAAAAAGTATATCATGACAAACCATATACTATATTTTATTTTATTTTAGTTTTGTTGGGCTACAGGGTCAAATTTTAATAATAGCAACTAGACAAATCTTGCTGAAATATGATGAAATCAATCTCTCTTAAAGTTTTGGATTTTATTTTATACTCTCTTTCCTACTTCACTTTTTTTTTCGATTCTTTTTCCTTTCTTATAAAATTATTTCTTTTTTTGAATATGCAAGTAGTACTACTTTATAGCACATTACTCAGAGTCTAATAATTATTCAAACTACTAGTAGAAGTAGTAACAAAAATGCCAGCGCATATCTCTCTTATTTTTTTGAGATTCCTACTCAATAAGATATTTATATTAAAGTACGATTATATTCATATTTATGCACTACAGAATACATTTATAAGAACAATGATTTCTAACATAAATTTTTTTCATTTAAAAAAAACTCTAATTCAAGACTATATCACCATAATTTCTTTATTTGCTTCACATATTATAGAGACAAAATAAACTAAAAACTATTTTAACTAAAAATACATAAATATCTCTAATATTACTACCTAGCTACTACCTTAGCTTATATATATATATATATATATATATATATATATATATATATATATATATAGATTAAAGAATTCTTTTTAAACCAAAAATAGAAAATGGACAAAATTTAGAATTCTTTTTCCTTTCTATTAACGACATGATTTTTGGTGACAACCTGGAAATTTTGAAGTACAGATCAAATAAACACTTTCTTTCTTTCATTAATTCATTATATTCTATCACATATTGCAATAATTAATCTGTTCTATTTATTTTTTTCATTTTTATTAGTAGAACAAGACAACAAGAAGAATGAAAATAATATATATGAGATGGTAAGCACCTTACTTCCAACCTTTAGGTTGTGAGTTCGAGTCATCAAGAGAACACATATATAAGAATATGAGAAGGAAGATGATAGATATAATGTTACCGTATATTTTTCGCCATTGTTCAAAGTAGGGAAAGAGTGAAGAAGTATAATCATGTGCTACACATTCAGCATAAACATTATTATTGTTGGGAGATGCAGCTTGGATCTTTTGCATTTCAGCAACATTTCCATATAAAAATGATGGTTTTGGACCATATATGCCTTGTTTCTTAAGTTTCCATCTAAGTCTCTCTGATGACTTTAACCATAGAGTATTATACAACATGTAAAATACCCCATTAATACCAAACATAATTAGAATGAACACCAATGAAGAAAATCTCATAGGAAAAACAACAAGAAGAAGAATAAGAAGGGAGATTATTAGAAAAGGTGTAGTGTTCTTCATTTTTGGTTTTTGTTGAAGCTTTCTAATTTGGATACCAACAAGTGTGTTTTTGAGGGTCCTAATTAATCGGATTGCACTAATGTATTGTGGGAGACTTTTATATATATATATATATATATATATATATATATATATATATAAAAGATATATTAAATGTGCTGTGAGATTTTGACTGCCTTTTTGTCACTTTATTTGGATTATTTTTCATTCTCATTATTCTATCTGTTTCAATTTATATATGACATTTTTTACTTCTCGAGAGTAAAATTGTCTAATTTTAATTATAAATTTGGGCATGGTGTCTTTATATTTTCTTGAAACAAAATTTATATATTTAAAAATTACGTAAAAAGTAGTATAAGTCAGAATGATTGTCAATTTAAAAGATATGAAAAAATTATAATCAAAGATAAGTTTATTTAAAGCTTAAAATTTGAAAGGTATCACATAAATTGAGACGAAGAGAGTATTATACTAATATTATATTAAATATGCCCGATCCAATCTAAATGTCTTTATTTGATTAAATACAAAGTCTAAGGAATAAAGAGAAAATTTTGAATTATATCATATTTAATTAAAAAGGTATGATCGTCTTTTAGATCTTTTAAATTTTAAACTTACTATTGTAAAATATAAATATGAGATGAAACACTTTTTTTTAATAAATTAAAAAGAAAAGTAAGAAATTTAAATTGGACAGATGAATTATATGCTTCATAATATATAATAATAATAATAAAAATAATAATAATAATAATAATTAATTATTATTATTATTATTATTATTATTATTATAGTGCAACAAATAGGGTTTGCATTTGGCACGACGTACGGGAGTGTCATATTTAGCGTCTTTTAGTGTGACTCCGCTTATTTAATAGTTAAACGATGAGGCTTAAACATGATTGCACTTAATTGATGAGTTTAAGTACTCCCCGTATTAATTTATGTGTTGTTATTTGACTTGAATGAAAATTTTAAAAAAAAAACAGATGAATTTATGGTTTAATATAAGTCATAGAACCCAAGGATCTGACCTAATGGTTAATATAATGGTCGAGAGCCATGAGGTCTCAAGTTCAAATTTCAGCAGAAACAAAAAAAATCACTAATAAATAATATATGTTTATGTGATTATAAATCATTTAATTAAATGTAAATAAATATTTTAAAACTTAATTATTACTATTAAATATGAAAATATATGTTTTTCTTGAATCGATTAAAAAGAAAAAATAGATATTCAAAATTTAATATTTAATTGATTTGAATTTGCGGAAGATAAAATCACAAAAAGAATAAATTGCTTTTTACCAAAGATTTTCCATTATCAAAGTGAAAAGATCGAATCTCAACCATGAGATCAACTGGCTTTGACACCTCATGTGACTAATGGCACCAATTATACTAGAATGATTAAAGTAATAAATTAAAACCCCTGATAGAGAAATTAATAATTATTAATTATGCTGTTAAATATACATTGGACATCTTTTGAGCAGCACTTTTGCGTTACACTGAATAACATACGTTTAGCCTATATTAGGTATTTTGTTATTCACAAGATTTGTATAATTTCCTTGATTTATATAAATTCATAATTATTATAATTCGGTTTCTGATGGTATAAATTTAAAATTTTGTATATGCTTATTCTAGATATTTGTATACGATTTATGAAAAATTCATAATAAATTACAATGTTTGTATATTAGACAGCGAAATATACAAACGAAGTTCTGAAAAATTCATAAATATGTAAATATAGAATTTGTATATACTTGCCTTATTTGTATATTCGCAAGCGAAATATACAAACATGCAGAAATATACAAACCGCAGTCTCCATAGCAAATGAAACTATAACTATGGAGCGCAATTATCGAAACAATACCTATAAAACCCTATTATATCTATTATGATTGCTATTTATTAAGTTTTCTCTTAATAAATGTCTTAATCACTTGTGTTTGATATATATTATTTTTAATTCAGAACTAAAAAACGTATGAAATTAAAATGCATATCAATCAAATCCTCCAAAACTAAAGTTGATAGAAAAACTATTTTTATCTTATTTTTTGGTGGCATAGGATAAGAAAATTTTTAATGCCGACAGTTTGATCACATCATTGATCAGTTATTTTATTTTTGTGGTTCCTGCTGTCTCGTTGAAACGGAAATTGAGACCGTTAGTCAATTGCCAAACAAAAGAATTCTCAACAAATAAAAGGGTTTCAATCTGTTTTTGGTCTTGAAACTCGAGTCTGTTTAGCCATGTGAGATAAAATTATATGATCAGATAAAGTTGAATTTTTGTTTAAACATATAATTTGAATTTTTAAATTATATTTTTGATTTTGAAATTTGAACCCGTTTAGCGATGTGAGATGAAAGCATGATATGAAGTTAAAGTTTTGTTTGGACATATAATTTAGATTTTAAAATTATCGTAAGTTGTGAAAACTATCAAAATTATCTCAATTCTTTATATAATCTTACCAAAAAAGCAAAAGGAACAAAAATATAATACACTAATAACACAAAGTTATTCTTTAAAAAATACAACATTTATTGATCGAATTTTAGTTCAATAAAGAAGTAAAATTGAAAATGAGTTGTAGTGTAATACTCTTTAATAAAATTGAGCATGGTCAATATCTTTAGTATAATATATTATCATGTTCGTATTTTGTGAATATTTCGCCACTCCTTTGATATTCTCACAATGAATTACGTAAATATAAAAAGGAAGAATTTTTTAATATAAACTTGTGGGACAATTTCTATATTTAGAAAATGTAAAATCATGATATAAAATTCACAAATCAAAGTTTTTTAGAGAATTTATGATTTCATCTCATTATGTCCGAATGCAGTGGCAAGCCATAAATGTTATTAAAGAGGTCCAAAATAATGATGTGTGACTATCAAAATAAAACAAAAAAACATTGTGCTATTTGAGGTGTGTGAACCCAAAACTTCTTAGTTCAAATGAACACCAATTACCATTGCGCCAAAGACGTAACGTTTGTCAAGAATGTCCAACTTTAAATATATATCTTATAAATGCAGAATTTGACATACATATATATATAACATACTTTTTTTTATCAAGGGTGTCCAACTGAATACCTGGGATGGCTATATATAGCTTCGCCCTTGTCTGAATGTTGATTTTATCACCAAATTTCAAAAATCACGAGATGTAATCACATGTCCAAACAACTGGCTTTTGTACTCAGCGCTAAATTAAGAGGGAATTTGAAAGTAAATTTTGGTCCGTTGTTTGAGTATATATGATGTGTGTTTCCACTTAAGAAAAAGCAATTTATGTGTAAATTCGTAACGAAAGAGGAAAATAATAATGTCGACGCGTCTTTGTAGAGTGGAGAAATAAGTGCATGCATGAAGACACATAACAAAAAGTGGAAATGTACAGTCAACTAAATTAAAGATGATGGAACAATTTTTATGTTTTGGGCCATTCCTATTTCCTACCCTTTTTTCTTCTTATCTTCTTTATTCTCTTATACAGAAAAAGTCGATAGAGACAATTTCTGTTATATATCATATATCCAATCGCAGACATAACAAATGGTCGATATTTAACGTTTATATATTCAAAACTAGACTTATAATTTATATATATATTTATTTTTTTTAATTTTTAAAATATGAAATAAAATTACTTAAGAGTTAATTACATCATATCCTATTCTTTTTCAAATTATAAAAATCTCTTTAACTTGGTGGAATCTGGGTACATCCCTAAATGTCCCGATACACCGTGTCCCATTTCAGATACATCTGTCAATATCTTGATACATTGCGTCTCGGCTTCTGATATATCACTCAACGTCCTGATACATAGTGTGCGTCCCGATACATCGTGTAAAGTGATGTATCCGATTGATACATGAGTAAAGTGATGCATCTGATTGATACATGCGTAAAATGATGTATCCGATTGATACATGCGTAAAGTGATGTATCTGATCGATACATATAGCGTAAAGTGATGTATCCAATCGATACATCAAGTAAAGTGCTATATCTGAGTTATGTAGTCGATCGACACATCTCGTAAAGTGATGTATTCGAGAGTAGGAGACAGTAGGAATTTGTCATTTTTTTAAATGATAAGAAATTTTAGAAAATATGATAAGATAAGTTGTGTATTTAGGTAATTTTTTTGTTATGAATAACTGTAATGACCCTAAAGGTCATTTTTGGAAATTTTCATAAAATGACCGTTTTACCCCTCCCGATAGTTGCCCCGAGTCCTAATTGTTGTATTTTCAAAGTTGGTTTGAAGGAAAATTGATGAAAAGTTGAGTTTTTGGAAAGTTGAGTTTTTAAGAGTTAAAGTTTGGTTAAAAGTGTTATTTCGAGTCATTTGGAGTTTTGAGACTCGAATCGGATTTCCGTCGATTTCAGCAGTTTTAGAATGTCGAAACGGGTCTATGAGGATTTACGGAGTCGAATTTGGAGTTAAAACTGAAACGACCCCAAAAATGCCCGAAAATGTGCTTCGGAAACACCTATAATTGTAATTTCCATATATCTCAAAATCCGTGCATGATTTCGGAAATTCGACTTCATATTCTTATTCAGGGGGTCAAATTGAGTGGGAAATGGGTCTAACCCGAATTTTAGAACAACCGTATCAAATTTCGAAAATCGCAAAAAAAATGCGATTTTGAGGGTCAACTTTAAAGGGGCATATCTCTCAGCACACAAGGAACTGGAAGGAGCTCAAACTATCAAAATTAAAGCTCTGTGAGTTAGCTTTCCAACGCAATTTGTTTCACCTCATTCCGAGTTAGGATGAAGGAGTTATGACCATTTTCGTAAAACCTGTCCGGCAGAAAATGCAAATTCCAGTAGCCGAAAACACTGTTCACCCGCCTCAATTTTTTTCTAAGTGTTGGGACGTTTTTTTATAAAAAGGGGACATATCCATACTTAGTCATTTAACTTCAAAACATCCAAAAACTCTCTCTAAACCCTCTCCAAAAATTCCACCAAGATCATCAACCAAATTCAAGGATCCCAAGCTTTAATTCCGGA